ATGGTCATAATAAAACAAATCAAGTTCAAAAATTGGCTTGACCAATGACATAATAGAAAGCAGCAAAAAAGTGACTTCCTTTTCTCTGACTTCGTGTTATGCAGGAAAAAAATACAAAAGTTTGATCGTTTTAAAAGCTTCTTTTTCCAAGAATAAATCGCCTACACGGCTTTTGCTGAGAGAAATCAAAAGAAATTAATAATTATGCCGACAGGACTATCTTCAACAGCATGTAACATTAAATGAAATCAACATTTTTGCATTTACAATTAATAAATAAGAGGAAACCTTAAATTTTAGTTTACTCGCCTTGATAGTATATACTATAACGAATCAAAATCCCCGATGTTTAAATATAAGTTGCACTAGACCTTATATTTTGTAGAATGTTTAAAATTAACAAGAAAAAAGTTGCCTGGCAAGAAAAAGTAAACGCACCTGGACTAATTCCATGTTCTGCACAGAGCTGTTTCCAAAATTCAAAACCAACTGAAAATCAGAAAATTAATTTGATTGAAAAAGCTTTATAAAAACACTTGAGAGAATTATTAACAACCCAAACGCATGAGAAATAGGGTGATTGGCCACAATGTTTCCAAATACAATGTACCTACATCTTGCTTTATGTATTTTGCAAAGTTAACTTCAAGGAAATGAACCCGCTAAAATGCAAGGGCGTAAGACTTACTTTGATTTCCACACTGTCCAATTTGTAGCGTGATGATTTCTCGAGGCATTTTTGTTTCTTTTATCGACTTTTTTCTATCATTTGCTTATTATTTATCAAGCTAAACTAGCAGAGAACATTATTCAAACAAAGCAAGCCCACCGCCAAAGATAAGATGCTGCATTTTGAAACTACCTCGTTTACAGCACTTCCGAAAAGGCGCGTAACCCAACACTGATGTTTACTGAGTGTGGAGAGGGCAAGGCAGAGAAAGTAATGGAAAGCGATTCAGAAACATTATCATACACAATATTTGCTTAATATGAAGTTCACATGAAATTCATGAATTGAGAAGATAATGTTTGGAAAAGTTTGATGAGACCAGTGGGCATTTTTAACTCCCTTTTTATAAGGAGGCTCGGAGCACTTTTCTCCGATAAGAAAACATTGTTAAGGGGTAATAAGTTAGAATCTTGAATTAAAAGTTATATTTATAAATATAGCTAGTATACACAGGGGCGAAAATACCGGGGGGGTGTGGGGGGGTGTGACACCCCCCCAATCCAAAAAATAGTCGATTTCGCAGGGCAATCGAAGATTTCGCAGGGCGCCAAGAAGAGCTTTATTGCCACGCAGAAATGCCACCTCTGAAGTTCGTAAAGGGCCGTTTAGGAATTTTTAAATGGAAATATCGTATTTTTTATGAACCTCCCTTCCTGACATTGCATTTTAGAGAACGGAACAGGTATCTAAATAAAAGCTCCGTTATTTGCAAGGCGAAAGCATTTCTTACCGAAAGTCATAGCCAATGGATGCAATGATGGATGCATATGTTTATGAGGGCAAAATTGAGTCCATGCAAATTAATTTAAGTTGTAAATTATTTTCATGACAGGCACGGCGTCACTGGGGGGAATAGGGGGCCGAAGGCCCTCACTTTGATCAAGATAAGAATTTTTTATCATTTTTTCTATTACTTTTTAACAGTGCATGAACTAAAAAACATAATAAATTGTTAAGATTCTTGTTAGGAACCGAATTTGTTTCATCTAATTGCTAACTTTTTCACGTATATTTTTATCATTTTTCTTTCATTTGCATTAATTCAGTAAATCATTTTCTGTATCATTGCAATGCTTTAATTTTTTATGTGTAAACATGTCCTTCTCGATACAAGAAACTGCACATTTCTGTTCAGGAAAAAAAATTCCTCAAATCAAAACAACATCTTCCTCTGTCATTCACAACTACGTGCAATCTGAAACGAAAGGTTGCCGTTTCTTTCCTTCCCCAACGTTTAACACTAGAGTTTTAGCATGATATTCCCCCTCCCTTTTTTTCCAATAAACAATAATATTTTCAATAAACAATCAGTTCTTTTAGCACAATAGTATTTTGCTAAATTTTTTGTCTGAAAGATGCTTTTTAGCCCTTTTAGAAGGTATAATTTCAAAAATTTTCTTCACGTCGGACCCAACCATGGTGGGTCCTCCTACCTCACTAAACTTGATTCTTAGTCCCCCTGAGCTAAATTTCGTTGCGCTGTCTGCATCAAGTATCCCCCCCCCCATTAGCTGTTTATTAGCTAGTATTTTGCAAACCAACATTAAATGAAATGAATATAAAAAAAATTACGCTCACGTAGAGAAATAGATATTTCATAGGCAATGAAGTTTCAAGTTTGTTTTTATTGCTTAGAAGTTTGTCCTTGGTAAAGACCAGTGTACACTGGTAAAGCTTTCACTAGTAACCTATAGACAAACCGTTGCTACGAGGTCTGCAGGGCACCAGTCAGTTTTGCAGGGCAGAAACCCTTTTCACCCCCCCAAACCTATTGGCCAAGTTACGCCCCTGAGTATACAATGAATAGCAAAAAATTTGGTACCGAAAATTCGGTAGATTAATTATCCGTGGAAAAAGTTTTGGACATGACAATGAAATTTCGGTGTGAATTTCGATGGAAACTTGAAAAATTTCAGTGGAAAGAAAACGTTTCGGTGAGTAAAGAAATGAAAAATTTTCTGCGAATTATTTCTATCTTCAAGCGAAAATATCAAAAACATAACTATGAAAGTTACGAAAATCGCATATTTTGATGTCAACCCAATAAATGAAACTAAAGTGTGATCAAGAATGTTATAAACTCTTATTTAGAGGACGTTTTATTACATTTTTCTACCCCAAGGAGGAAAATTAACTGAAAGCTTTTACAGTTTGCCATGCTTTTTATTGCTAATCGCAACGAGTTAATTAGAAATTCTGGTCGCTTGTGAGTTAAAAATTGAAAGAAGTAATTGAGAGAAGTAATAAAGATCTAGTAGAAGCATCAGTTCAGCCCATAAACTGAAAATGAAGGGGAACCAGAAACTGAAAATTAATATGCATTGGACATGTCTCCCAATGCAGTGTGCTTTGACCGGTATTGTTCTTAGTTAATATAAATAGCTTACAGGTTTTTCAATATCAAATTTTGTAGACGATAACTATGTTATATTTGCAAGGAAAATCTTTTTTTGGGGGAAACTATAAATTAAAGCTTTAGTATAAACTAGCTTAAGTATCCATATATCCAATACACTCATTTTCTAATGTAAAACAAAGGTCGATGTTGAGTACTCCAGTTTCTTAATGTTCTGGAAATTTCAATATTCGCTGTTTTTAAGAGTTTCTTAAATATGACGTCGTTAAATTTAACATTTGCTTTCTATTTTCGATTCTTTAACGCTAAGAGATTTCCCAACAGAAACTTGTTTGAAGAGTTTTCGTTTCTGCAAATTTTCAATGTTTCTATTGTTTTCAAATGCTTATTTCAAATGCTTGACATTTCAGTAAATTTCACTACTCATTGTTTCTTAATTATGATGTCATGAATGATGTTATGAAATGTTCATGACCCTTTTTATTCACGTCAAGAGATTCGCTTCCGTTCTGACGCTGTATTTAGACGTGGGAAGTATATTTTTATCCTTTGTGTCTTTCTAGGCCATCAGGGCAATCATGTTCTTCGATTTTACAGAATTCCGTTGTTCTCAGTTTTATCACGATTTAATAGTTTCTTAATTTAATTTTTTTGCTTCGAGTTCTGAAGTTTCTTAATTTTTTCTGACTGTCCAGTACTCGTTTCTTATAGCCAGTTTCTTTAAAGAAAATGAGTGTACATGTGTACGGAAATGTGCCGCACACAAATCGCTAAACTCTAAGATTCGCCATCTTGTCTCGTGCTCTCGAAGATCTAACTAAAAATAACTGAAACTCGGTCCCAGTTCTCTACTGTCCTAAACTGTCCTAAAATGTCCACTACTAATCAACATAACGAATGATAATAATAAAGTACCGTACACAAACTCCCCTAAAATTTGAGTAAAGTAACATACTTGAGTCAAATTTTATCAAACCTTTACGGTACGCAGTTGTCCTCTTCAATCTTCTTCCAAACAAAGTCTCGTCTTCACTTCTGCATCCACCGCAGCTCTTCTCTTCTCTCTTGTTGTCACATTGGCCTTGGCATCGATTGCTCCGTTGATTGTTTCAACTGTTATCACATTGACTTTGTCATCAGTTGCTCCTTTGATTGTTTCCACTGTCTGTGACTCCTTCGCTTGACAACCAATCTCCAATGGGCAGATAGCTTGAACCGGTCGCTCTATGAGATGTCCTTTGTGTCTCAAAAGCACTCCCCTGACTACGTCGTCTCTTCCTTTCACAAGCTCTTCTACTCTCGCTTTCTTCCACTATCTCTGTAATCTTTCTCACCCTGTTCGCTACAAATGCTTTCCATTGTTTCCCTGGATTGTTTATCCAAAATAAGGCCACCATACTATCCATCCACACATTGATTGATGTTATTGGCCAATTCTTCAATGCTTTGCAAATGTTCTTGGCCATGTTTGCTGCCATTTGCCCCCCAACCAACTCAAGTCTGGCTATCGAAGTGTTTCTCTTTGAAATTCTTGACTTTGAAGTGAGTAAGCCTTTTACTTTGCTTGATCCTTGTTCCACTACTGCAATTGTCACAGCACAGCATGCCTTTTCACTTGCATCTGCAAATATGTGTAAATTCACTGCATCAACTGCTCTTATTTCTCTTACTAAAGTTCTTGGTATCTTTAATTCTCTCAGCTGTCTCATCCATCTCAAATAATCTTTCATAAGGGGTTCAGAAACTTCAGCATCCCCTCCCTTGTTCTCATCACAGGTCTCCCTGAAGATTCTCTTTCCTTCTACTAGGGTTGGTGAAATGATTCCCAAGGGGTCATAAATTCTGGCTAATTGTCTCAATACAGTGTTCTCTGAGACCTTATCCTCTTCCCCTTTGTTTATGGGTACCATCAAAGTATCTTCTTCCTTGTTCCAAACATGCCCCAAAATCTTGCTTGGATTCTCCATATTTTCACTTTCTAGGCTTTCTATGTTGGATTCCCATTTATGAATTTGAAACTTTGCATCCTCTAGTATTTCAGTTGCCTCTCCTTTAAATCTTTGAAGCTCTTCAATGCTCATTCCTGTACACATCAGATTGTCTACATATGTATTTTCTCTGAGCATTTCTAGGGTACTGGCTAGCTCTGTGTTAGTAAATTTCTCATAATGGTGCTGCAAGGTCCCCCCCAACATAAATGGGCTGGCTTCCCCCCCAAAAGGGACCCTTAGAAATCTTAGGTGTTCTTCCTTCCCACTCAGTGTGAATAAGAATCTGAATGCATCTCTATCCTCTGATTTAATTCCAATTTGTAAAAATGCCTTTTGTATGTCTCCTAGCAGCAGATATGGTGTCATTCTTGCTCTGACCATAATGTCCCAAATATTTGGCTGCAACGCAGGTCCCTTGTACATGCAATCATTGATGCTGTTTGTTGTTGGCGTTGGGCGTGCACTAGCTTCAAATACCATTCTCACCTTTGTGGTAGCAGCGCTCTCTCTTACAACTGGTTTGTGAGGCATGTAAAATATTCTTGTTCCAGATGGTTCACTTGGAACTCTCTCCACAACTCCCTCTCTTAACTGATTCTCAACAATTTCTGTGTATTCTTTCTGCAGTTTTTCATCATGCCTCAGTTTGCGCTCAACATTTTTCAATCTCTTTCTGCTCTGCATCTCATTTGTTTCTGCCAAATTGCTTCCTGGTATCCATGGAACATTAACTTCATACCTTCCATCATTTTGTCTGGAAATGTTCTCTTTGAACTCTTTGTAAACATCTAATTGGTCATCTTCTCCCCTGTCTTCAACCCCAAGTATGTCAAGGCTGTATAATCTCTCATATTCATTTCCAAGCTCTCTGGTGAACATGCAATTTGTGCTAGAAAATTCTCCTCCATGAATAATCCAACCAAATGATGTGCCTTCTACAATTGGTTCATCATCATTCCCCTTGAAAACTGTCTCTGTTCTCAGTTTGCTGTATGTTTTGTCTCCAATAATCATGTGAATTTTATGTTCCCCTGATGCTGTTATGTAGAATTCTTTGTCTTTGGTGTGTCTAAACTGCTGTTTCAATTTCCTTAAATCTGGCCTTTTGACTGTTGTGAAATCATGCATTTCTACCCCTGCAACCTCAATATGTTCTCTGGCTTTCTTGTCTAATGATTCTATGGTCATCTGAAAGATTGGCATGGCTTTTCTTGCTGTTCCATTGATAGTTGTTACATCTTTTGTTTCATATCTCTCAGGTTTTGATTTGAGCATCATTAACGTATCCTTAGAAATGAAATTCCTTCCTGAACCTGTGTCAAGGAATGCCCAAATAACCTTTCCATCAATTCTTACAGGCAAAATTGGTGGGAGTGTTTCCTCCACAGAAGGTGTGAATCCTGTTAAAATTGAACCTTTTTCACTTTCACCTTTCTGCTTTTCACATAGGCTGCTGTGGTGTTTAGCCTTACAAAAGTAGCACCCCCTACTTAGACATTTATCCCCCCTGTGTCCTTTTTTCCCACAGTTGAAGCATAGCTTATTTTCTCTGAAGAAGCTCCTCCTACTCTCTATAGTTTCCTGTGTTTTGCACTTATCACTCCAATGATCTTGATCACAATAAATACATTTTCTTGAGTGTTTCTCCTTTGTTTCACCTGTATACCAGTGTTTTTCTCTTTTTTCCACTGGCTTTCCTATTTCCTCTGTTTTGTTTCTTTTCAACCACTTCTGCAAATTATCAATAAGCTTTGACATCCCCCAGCTTTCCCAATCATCATCCAGCCTTACCAAATCAGACTTGACATTTGGCAGCTTGTTTAATGTTGTCATCACAAATCCTCTCAACATGTTTTCTTCATCAAGTGTCAGCAGGGCATCATAATTCTTTGTGAGCTTGTCATAAAATTCTTGAATTTTCTCATAATTTACTCCCTTTATGGTAGGTAGATTCACAATTTCATCAATGTGTGTGTTTATCACAGCATTCCTTTGCCCATATTCCTTTTTGAGCCTTTCCCAGGCAGTTTCAAGCCCAACTTTTCCTGGTTTCAGATTTGCAATTTTATCCCTCACTCTGGGATTCACCATCTCTAACAAATATCCAAATTTAACTTCATCACTAAACCCCTTACTTAAAACTTGACTTGTGAACATGTTTTCAAATCTTATCCAGTCAGCTATTGTGCCTTTAAATGGTGTGACTCTCAGCTCTGGCAGTTTTGAAAAGGTTGCCTTAGCCCCACATTCCATTTCTAGCTTTTTCTCTGCAAGTTTAATTTCAGCATGCATTCTTTCCTCCCATAAAGACTTCTCTTGTAAGTATCTCTCCCTTCTTATTTTCTCTTCATCGTCTGCTAATTGCTTTTGTCTTTCTAGCATTCTCTTATCTTCCCTTAGCTGCTCAATTTGCTTCCTTTCAAATTCCCTTCTCAGACCTTCCTCTCTTGTTTGAGTTTCTATTTGTGTTAAAGCTCTCAACATTTTCTCATTTTGCTCTAACATTCCTGTATATTTATCTTTCACATCCTTTTTCCACTGCCTAACTGACCTAGATGATTCCCCTTGTTCTAATTTCATCTCTTCAATTCTCCCTGTCAAATCAATTATCTTATTGTGGATTACCTTCACCCTATTTGTTGCTATCTCCATTTCTACTGTGTCTCCAATTTCTATGAGCTCATCTGTCTGCTCTGTATAATAATTCAACTTCGCTATTTCCTTCTCGATATCAATCTCTGGGCCTAAATTTTGCCCATCTCCTGTTGCTGTTTCTGTTGATGGATTTGCCATGATTCTCCCGGTATGTGTCCTGGCAGGGTCGCCACGTATGTACGGAAATGTGCCGCACACAAATCG